CCCAAAAAAAAAAAAAAATGATTCGAAAAGTACACTAACCACTGTTTCTATATATGCTCCTCTCAAAAATAGTAATAAACTTATACATTGGTACATGCAGTGCAGTAACGGGCATGACAAAGCAACCAATGTACAATTGTCACCTGATCAATCCTTGTTCCCAACAGTACATATAATATAGTTAAGGTTTCTTAGATTGCTCTCCAGGAGTGCACCTCAATGAACCAAGAGTGTGATATCGGCTGGGTGCTGATGAATGCCTGAACCCCTTTGGCATGCAAGTTTTTACTTCTCTCTGGTGAAAAACCTGTCTTTTGTGATTCAATTCAGGCTTCATTGTCACATAAGTTCGACCTCCAGATTCCGATTGCTCGGTCCTGCTGACCAAAACACTAGATGGGAGAAAGCGTCCGGCCATTGCTTCATCCAGAGGAGACAACAGTAGGAGAAGATAAATGTATAATGCAATGTAGCCATGAGTAGTAGTAGTAGACATTGAAGTTTTTTGGGTTGTTTTTCTTCACAGAAAAAGCTATGGGGTATCAGAGATTTTTGTAACAAATTTAATTTTCTGGCTGTGAGAAAGAAGAGGTGAAGGTGAACTTAAATAGACTCGTGAGTATATGAAGAGATACAGCTCAATGCTAGTAAGGAGAGGAGAGAGAGAGAGAGAGAGTTGGTGAGCTGGGTGGTCTTTTTTGACAGTAGCCTGTGAGGGAGATGAGGATGCCCGTGAGTTTCTGCCATTGCAATTAACAGTCAGAGCCTCTTCCTTTCCATTGTGTCCCTAACTCAAAGTACAAGGGTATATCAAACAAAGATGTTTGGTGGGTAGGGCCAATTCACCAACTTCTATGCATGATTAGTGAGATTTATGTTGGATAACTTGTGAATCAAGTGAAATACTTGCAATGACCCAACCGGATTTACTGGAAAGAAAATAAAAAAAATGTTTTGATAATTATAATGTTGCTAAAACTCCATGTTCTAATGTATGTTCAATCCTAAGTTGCTTATATAACAGAATTGAATCCAATCCTCAATCATTAAATCGCTATTGAAGTAAGGTGGGCCCTTACAACAAATTTTTGGCTTCATTTATCAGGTAAATTAAATCACACTACTGAATAACAAATGGTAGAAATAGGCAGACAACTTCACCATTCTACCTTAGAGTTGTCCAGGGTGAACACCCCCCCCCCACCACCCACAAAAAAAAAAGGTCTCGTATTAATTTTTATCATATTTATGAATATTTTTATTATTGTTGAGTACTAAAAAAAATGGTAAAAATAGTCATTACAATAGTGATAAAAATACTCACAATAATGATAAATTATTCACAAAAGTAATAAAAGTAATTACTACAATAATGATAAAATACTCACAAATGTGATAAATTATCCACAAAAATAATAAATTTTTTAGTTGTAAAATGATCTATAAAAGTTATAAAAATACCCATTAAAATAATAAAATTTAAAGATACGGTACCAAATTTTTTTCTTCGATACCGTCGTCAAGTCCTTATACGTTGAAAAAAACCAACCACTCCCTCACCCTAACCCGATCCCAAAAGAGTAATCACCATTGAGACCTAAAAATATGTTAGTGACATAGTTCCATAGTATTTTTGTGATTCTAATGGTTGAACTTCTTTATCATTATTTTATCACTTCACACATTACCGTATCAATAAATTAAATTAATTTTTTAAACTTCAATAGCAATAATCGTTTCAAAATTACTCGCCAATTTTATGTCATAGCGAAGGGAAACACATCAATATGACTTTGACATACTTTTGTTGAATAGAACTTTCAAAGTCAACCTTAACCACCTATTCTCTGTCTCTTTTTTTTTTAATACCAGCTGGAAGAGCTTGATTGGGCCACGTTTCACTCTAGTTCACTACATTTTCCTCTGTAGCCATGTGTTTCCTTTTACTACACAACCGACCAACCACCAACCTTAATTTTCTTATGCCATGTGACACGCTCCCAGCAATCCTGTAAGAGACTGTGGTAACAGGTTCTAAGGAGGTCCACGTGGTAGTCATCTTCCAAAAAAAGTAAATGCATAGGGTAAGTGGAGAAGTTTGGCCCTTTCTTTTTTTTTTTTTTTAATAAATTTTTATGAGTTTTTTTAGTGACATTAGGGCTCGAAATCTGGAACATGTTACTCATTAGCGCCATATATATGACCATTGAGTTCAGAATTATAGTTTCAAACAATTTTATTTGTATACTTACTTGATTTGAATGGACTACTGGAGAATGATTACTACATGAAACAATATAGGTATGTTGGTCTGTGCACAAGACATCGTTTATAGTGGGATTGGGATCTCCCCTCTCTTTTCTCGGATGGGGCATCTTGTCCCTCTTCCACTGCATAAAGAGTATTTAAGGATTGAAGTTTTATTCGATCCAACTAGATTTTTCAGAATGTTTTCAACTCCCTCCCTCATATGTTGTAAAAGAGAATTAAGAAAGACATTTTTTTCTTTATCTTTACTGATACAAATGATTTTTCGGACATCTATATCCTCTTTAATCTCTATTAATTATTAGAAAGGTGTTAAATCAGAAAAGAATGCTTCTATACCTCGAGGTAGAAACGTGGGATGGAGGCGATAGAGAGAGAATACATGGCATGACACATACTGAAACATAAGATGTTTTGAAGGTTGTTTTTCCGAGAAGTGTAGTGAAAGGCTTTAAGTCAACTTTCTTTTTTTTGTTTGTAGAATACTCATCTTTTTTCTTATTTTTGTTTCTCTGTGTGAGTGGGGATTTGGGGATAACAGACAAATGGTTTGGACAAGAAGGTTTTGTAATTATATGAGGAAGAAGGGGAAGACAAAAATGATTATTCATTGTTCGACCGTCCAATTTGAGACTCTTCTTTACTGGCCAATTTGAACCAAACAATCGATCCTAACAAGAGGAAGGGAGCGTTAGGAGCCCTTATGCGACTGATAGAGGAATTCATATTATCAATCTAGCATTAGGGGAATCTATTATAGAAACAAAGATAGTATTATAAAGGGCTAATTAATAGTATTACAAATAATCAATCGTTTCCTTCTTTCACTATTAGTTAATCTAAAGATTTTTTTAGTTATTGATTGCACTAGACTAGATAGGACAACAAACACACAACTTCCACCCACATACAAGGAAAAAAAAACAAGCCTAGTACTCAGAAAATAGAGAATCCAGTTGACATAGCTCAGTTGTTAAAGAAAGAAACTTATAGTTCACCATAGATAAGCAAATGTCTTGCTTGATTACAAAATACGAAAAAAGAAAGAGCTAAGCGCTTGAAAATTTCTTTTAGTCTCCCCCCAAGTCACCGCGGGCGACAACGTTCCACTTTCTCTAAAAAAAAGAACTACAAAAGTGGTCTCGTCATCTTTGTTCACACTAAGGAGATCTTTAAAAAAACGTTAACTAGACAATATAGGGTCGGAAAGAACCGATATATTAATAATATTAGCTTTACCCTTATTTTAGAGATATGGATTATCAGACTGAAACCTCCAAAATATCTTTAGATAAATTAATACTTGTTATTGCTCTAAATTCTACCTCTTTCTCCTAGAAAGAACATCATTACTTATTTCCCACATATTTGCTAGTGTGTCTTATTCACAGGCAGTTGGGTTAAGTGGTGGAATGAAATATGCAAATTGGTTATTTGTAGGGCTGTTCACGGGTGGGAGTTGGCTCGCAAAAGCCCGCTACCTA